TGGTCGGTAAGACAGCACGACAGTACGAAACAGAATGTGACTCGTACGGTTGATAGTCCGATTAGATACCTTATTCTGCTGATTCAAAAGCGGTTTTGTCCCTTTCTTACCGTTAATGCAATGGTATATAAGCAAACAGCCATCACAGACGCGCACAGGTGTTTGACATTAAATCAACTTATTCTTGGGTTCTGCTCCCCCCCCCTAGATGCCAACATTAGGTGCATGCCCAGTTGCGGATAAAACAACAACGAAATCGACCACCTATCCAGTTGTTTTTTTCCATGTGTTGGCCCCAGAGTAAGTGAAATGTAGAAGAAAATTGAGAACGCTGATGAACACAGCCTCCTTGGATACTCCAATGATTATCAATCCATGCTTAGCTTGGATGGTGGTAATCTTAAACTAAAACGAAGAATGAAACAACAGTCGTGTTAGAGTGCCCAAACGTCGGGTTTCAATAAATTAAGTTTGCTAACAGACTTCGGACACTGAAATTGCCAATCTGACTAGATAAGCATAAGAACTATTTTTCTTGTTTATTGACAGATGAGAAATGGCTTGTTCGCCTCCCTGAAGATCTTGCGCCATACTTATAGATTCTACGCCGGTCTGGGTGTGGACAAAACTGCGGACAATACACAACTTTTACAGAGAATGCAATTCTGGCAATTTCTAAGAGATTGCCGTTTCACGACCTCCATGAGCATATGTCAAGTCTTGAATATTCTAGGTGAGCTTTTGAGTGTTTTAATGTGACGGTTCGTTTAACAGTAGCACACTGGAGGTTATTTTTTACTTAATCTGATGCTACAAATATGGCTACGGAGAGAGTTTGGACGGAAGAAGTATTTATGTGGACAATGGGCTAAAACCTACTTCCTTATAGGTTCAAACACAATATGCAGACTTTTTTGTCACATGCTATTGTTTTCAGTGCTCGTGGAGTGTAGACTTTTTGTACCGACGAGCTTTTACGACGTATTGGAGTGCGATCCAAAAGTATTCAGTTTCTATGTAATTACTCCGAGATCCAGGGATCTTTGAGTTAGTTGGCCTGAGATTCAGACCCAGAGTAACAGCTGAGGGTTTAATCCTGAATTTGAAAAGCAGTGTCCTGTTATGAGAAAGAGTAAAGATCATTGCTGACGACCAGAAACTTTTCTGAAACAAGTGTGTGCATCTACGTACTTTCCGTCATGGGGTCAATAAAGGAGCCGGAAACTGTACAGCTGAAATATGAAAGACTGAAATGGCCATTTCTGGTTCATCGGACGTTCTCACCAACCGATACGTCACGTCGAGAACACGTAAGATTGAAAATTGATTCAAAAGAGGGTTCAGCTCCAGAGCATGCATCTTTTTGGTAATTTGCCGCCTAGCATAAGCTATCATACCTACAAATAAAAAAATATTGAAGACCTTCGGTTTTTTTAGATACGCAAAAATTTGGTCTCATCAACTCTTAACCACGGAAGCTTTCTTATAAAAAATTATGATGTGTTAGTGAACTTTGGTCAAGAAATCTCAGAACAGCACGCAAAAACTTCAAAATAAAATGTAGGTCGTATTTGGACATCATGTACTTTTTCTGGGGATTAAACATCAGCATGAAGATGAAAAGCCTGAAAGGATAGAGCCA